TCCTCCCCCTCCCCCTGCACCTCTGGCCTGTACCCCGGTACTGTATGTGCAAATAAATAAATCTTAAAAAAAAAAAAATTAGGACCTGAGTGTAAAAACCAGATATAAATCAGTTATCCCTATGTCCCTGAAGAATAGTAAACAACAAGGGGTTAACACAAGTTATCTGCCTATGCAATTGCAAAATCCCTATATAACTTTTGACTCTCCCCAAAGCAGCTGCTACTAATAGCAGGCTATTGACTGGAAAGCCTTACTAATAACAAAGTCAATTAGTGTATGTTTTGTATGCTATATGTACTATATACTATATTCTTAAAGTAAGCTAGGGAAAAAAGTTAAAATTTTTCATAGGAGAAAATACTAAAGTACTGTACTTACTGTATTTACTTTATTAAATTTATAGTATAAGTTTACATTGTCAGCTAACATGAAAATATACATATAAATTGAACCCAACAGTTCAAATTTGTGATGTTCAAAGGCCAGTTTTGTTAAGTTCCTCAGTAAGCTATCAGTTCCTTTTTTTTTTTAACACAAGAACTGGAGTACAGGCCAGATGTGCTGGGGGTGAAAGGATTCACCAGAGACGGAGTGGGGAGCACAACAGGCAGATCTACTGAAATACACTGCTGAGGGGTGCAGGCAAGACAGGTGAGGTCTACCGCACTGCACTATGTGGGCCGTGCTATGTGGGTCAGTTCCCTGGCTGGGGATCGAACTGGTGCTATAATGGCTACGGAGAGCTTCATAGGGCTGTGCTTTAATCACTTTCCCCACCAAGGAGGACCCTCACTAAGTAATTCACTAAAAACTGTTAGAACCAGCTAGATTGCAAAATAGATCAATGAATCCAAACAGATTTGCAAGACACGGCCTGTATGGGGAAAAACAGTGTTAGGAACTCCAGAACAGAATAAGAAAGTCAGGGGACTGCAAAGACCAATGCTGGAGCTGGCAAAAAGGAATAAAGACTAGTGATTTAACTATCATTGGGATAGAGCAGATTTTTCGTGAGAGGATTAATAAAACCTTTTATGTGTCTGGCAAAAAAGAATCTTAAAAGTGCAAAGACAACCTAAGAAGTGTGGAGAAATGCCTGCAAATCATAGTTCATAAGGGTCTGTTATGTAATATAAAGAATTCTTACAACTTAGACAACGCAATTTTTAAAAAAATATTTATTTATGTATACAAGAACTGGGATACAGGCTAGAGGTGCAAGAATGAGAGGGTTCACCAGAAACAGTGAGGAACAGAAAGGCGGGTTGACTGAAATACACCGCTAAGGGGAGTCCAGGCTAGACAGGAGATGTCTGCCACATCATGTGGGTCGCATCCCTAGCCAGGGATTAATTCCTGATGCTGCTGATAAATTCTTACTGCTGCGCTTTAAGTCCTGACACCACCGGGGAGGGCCCTATACAACCCAATTTTTAAAAGACAATCTAAATAGACCTTTCTCCAAAGATGATACACAACCAACAAATAAAAATGTTTGACATCATAATTCATTAAAGAAATACAAATTTTAACCACTTTAAGCCTACAAGGATAGTTATAATAAAAATAATAGAAAGCAGGATTTGAAACTCTACTAGTCGGAGTGTAAAATGTGGGAAACAATTCATCGCAAAAGATTAAATGTAGAACTACTGTAGGACCTAGCAATTTCATTCCTAGTTATGGATCCAAAAGAATCGAAAAGATATTTGTCCATCAACTTTCATAGCTTCCTCACCTCCTTCACCTCCAGGGTACTGGATAGAGCCTGACTACAAGAACTTAACTAAATCAGAGCCACAGACTAATAACAAGAGCCAAGCGCTCACGATTTGCTAATTCTGAAAGAAGTCACGTAAGTACGCACAGCTGAGCTATTTCCCAGAGGACTAGAGCCTAGGCCCGGAAGTTCGGGCGCGGTGCATACTGGGAAATGTAGTCACGGGCCTTTGTAGACCACGACCCCGTAAAAAAAAAGGCTGTAACTCCCACATTTTAAATTAGTTCTTCGGGAAAAAAATAAGTAGGGCAACCTATAATAACCTGCGAGTTCATATTCTTTGGCGCAGCTCTCCTTTCGCGAGCACAGGTCAAACCGGCCCGCAGTCGAGTCCGAGAAGGGCGGGTAGATCTTACGTTGACGCCGGCGTCACGCTTCCGACCAGGGTTTGGCGGGATTTCCGAAAGTCGCGGGGAAAGTGCGCCCTGCTGCCTGAGAGCAAGTCCCTGGCAGAGCTGAGGCGCCCGGAGAGGTGCGTGATTGGTGCTTGAAAGTCTCCCGAGCTGTGTGAGACGGCCGAGTAAAGAAATAGAGAACTAGGACCCTAGCGAGGCGTCTGGGGTTCATCTGGGTCCGGGTGCGCTTGGAAGCAGAGACTGAAGTCGGACGCGCGGCAGCCTGAGCAAGCTGCCGGGCAGGCTGAGGTGAGTGTGCAAAGCTCGGATCTGGCTGCTTCCACGGCTGGGTGTGTCCCGCGTTAGCTGTACGGGGACCCACACACGACTGTTGGGGTCCATTCACGTTAGAGACCTGCTTCTCCAACACCGGCTTTTTTGGCGGTGGGCGAGATCCGGAACGGTGTAGCGACTTGTCGTAGCCAGGGTTTCCCAATTTCTGGTCAGTCCTCTCCCTATTACGCCATGTTTTGCTTACTAACTACCAATGTCCTGGTGTCAAATATTTTTTCCTTGTCTAAAGCGGAAGGTCGTTCACGTGATGCCGAGGGAATGTACTTCAGTGAGGTTGTTTTTTCTCTCAAGCTTCTAAAGAGAAAAATAAGCAAATTAAGTGTACAAATCCTTGACTTACTACAAAAATGAATAGCTACAAATCGAGCTATTAGCACCCGGGAGCACCCACTTTGTCTCCCTTTTCTCCCATAGGCAACTTCTAGTGGTATTAGAGTTGGTTCTAATATACCTTTGAGTAATTTCTCTAGTTTTAAAGTTTTCTGTAATACCATGTATTTATATCTTTGTGTCTGACTTAGCTCATCATTCTGCCTGTAGATTTATACATGTCTGTATTGAGCAGTGACGAAATACGCGGGTCACAGCATTTGTCTATCTTCGTTTTTCCTAGTGCCAGTTTCCCAGTGTACTATAATTTACACTCAGTCCAGTAATGTAACTGTTTAGTTGTTGCACACACTTGATGACACTCTTGATGTTGTTAGGCTTTTTAATTTTAATGCTGGTGGGTATCTAGTAATAATAGTACCTGGTTTTAATCTTAATTTTCCTTATTATCAATGAAATTGGCATTTCTTCCTTTCTTTACTGGCCACTTGGATATTTTCTCTTGTAAAATGCTTGTTAAAATTTCCTTCCAGTTCTTCTATTGAGATGTCTTTCTTGCAGATTTGAAGTTCTTGATATTTTCTGGTTGTCAGCCTGTTGGGTTCCTATCTTTCTAGGTCCTTGTCGCTGGAAAATAATCACATTAACAGAATATGTTAGGAGAAAAGCGCCAATGTGTTTGCATACACGTGGAGATGCCATGTAATTAGGGGACCTGTGATGTGAGCAGAGCAACACATTTAAGTACTTACTAGACAAAGAAGTTCTTGAAATATATTTGTGAATTAAACAGTGCTTATTAAACAGTAGAAACTAACCCTGAAAACTTACCTGTAGAGATAAGTTATCTCTTTCCCTCCTCATAAAGGAAGCTATCCTATTGAAGGTTTATTTTCTGATTTTAGAAGCAGAGGGGCATCATAGAAACTCCTCTGTTGGCCGTTTCTCAAGCAACTTTAATCTGTGCTGCTTAGCACATTTAGGGGTGGCCTGACTTCAGCCCTCACAAATCTTTGGTTATATATGTGGCAAATATTTTCTTCACTCATAGTAGTTTGACTTTCTCTTATTAGTATCTTTTGATGATGAGATGTTCTGAATTTAAATGTAGTCCATTCTTTCAGTCTTTGTTTTTAGTTGTTGCGTTATCTATTCAGTTCAAGAAATCTTTCTCTTGCCCAAAATCTTGAAGATACACACCTATTATCTCTTAAATTTAGACCTCTAATCTGAGTTGGAGTTGGGCTTTTTTTCCTGTGTTGATCAAGTACACTTTTTGAGGTTATTTAATCAACCTGGCAATATTTATTGAAAGAACCTCCCTTCTCCATTACACTGCAGTGCTCTTCCATAAATAATGGAAATGTTTATATTAAATTCAGGTGATAGCAGTATTTGAATCAAGCTTACATTATGCTAAATCTACCATCTGAGAGTCTTTTTCCCCTTATTGAGCTATATATCTAGGATCTTTTCCTGAACTTATCAGTAACGAAGTCATTGAGATATTGTAATTGATTATTTATATTTGAACACCCAGATGACCAAAATATATTTCATATATATTTGGTTTTCACCCAGTTTCTTGTTTAGAGCTTCCAAGGGCCTTGAAGTCCACTAGATGCTTAGTCTTTTGCTATGTTAATAAAGGTAAATTTTGGAAAACACCTGAGGAGGGAGACCGTCTGAAGCACCTACTAAGTGATTAGAGAATTGGAACTCCAGTCCCAGCCTCAACCTCCTGGGAGAATAAGGGGCAGAAAGTTGAGCTCAATTGCCAGCGGTCCGTGATTTAATTAATCACCTGAAAGTCACTCAACCCCATAAAAATTCAAAAGGCAGTCTTGGAGGTCTTCTAAGTTGAACATGAAATTGGGGGTAGAATGGTGCATGTGAAAGGGTGTGGAAACTCCAGGTCCTCTCATCTTGCCCTGTCTAGCTCTTCCATCTGGCTGATCAGCCTTTGTAAATTGGCAACCTAATGAGTAAACAGGATTCCTGAGTTCTGTAGCTGCTCCTCAGTTAACAGAACCTGAGGAGGGGATTGTGGGAATCTCTAATTTATAGCCAGTTGGTCAGAAGTGGTAATAGCAGGAGACTGCTATTGAAGTAGAGAACAGTCTTGGGAGAGGTAGCACTTAACTGATGAAATCTGATGCAACAGCTTGTTGGTGTCTGGGCAATCAAGTCAGTTCAGCTCAAAAAAAATTTTTAATAATAATTTATTTTTACATTATTTGTGCCTTTTTCCATCTCAGTTATAATCCCCATGGGCTTCCCATCTCCAAATCACCTGTTTGCCATCACCATAGTCCAGTGTACTTCCTTTTCACCGTTTTTGATCCCATTTCCCACTCCACCCCTGTAAAATGTCTGGTATATAGTTGTTCATTATTATTATGATGATGATTTTCTCCCCTAGTGCTTTATACTCCTGCTGTGAGTAAAACCATTCAGTATTTTTCCTTTTCTTTCTGGCTTATTTCACTAAGCATGATCTTTTTCAGCTCCATCCATGTTGCTGCAAAAGGCATGTGTTTCTTTTTTTTTGGTTGCTGAGTAATATTCCATTGTGTATATGTACCACATCTTTTTAATCCAGTCATCTACTTTTGGGCATTAGGGTTGTTTTCATGTCTTTCCTATTGTAAATAAAACATCAAATCAATTTTTTTAAAGATTTATTTATGCATACAAGGGCAGGGGTATAGGCCAGAGGTATTGTGGAGGTGGGGAAAGGGGAAGGAATCACCAGAGACAAAGTGAGGAACAGAACAGGAAGATTGACTGAAATCCACTGCTGAGGGGAGCAGTGGGTGTGAGATAGGGAAGGTCTTCTGTGAACTAACTCCCTGGCCAGAATCAAACTGGCTGGAGATAGCTTGATAGTGCTTAGACTTAATAACTCCTTGCCCCACAGGGAGGCCCAATTCAGCTCAACTCTGACATAGACTACTCAGAGCATCAAGTTTCTCTAGAAAAGGATGTAGTTTCCCAAGTCATTATCCCCAAAAAAACCATAGAAAGTGTGCGTTCATTTGCCAACTATTTACCAAGCATTAAACATTTATAATGTATCATAGGGTGTATAAATATAAATTAGACTTGGTTTTTAATTAAGAAATACAAAGTAGGGAAATAAGGAATATAGTTGATCTAGTTAAGCTGTGATTTTTTTTTTTTTTTTCCAAAAAGAAAGTTTCCTGGTTCTTTTTTTTTTTTTTTTTAAGATTTATTTGTGCATACAGAACTGGGGTACAGGCCAGAGGCGGCAGATCGACGAAGTACACTGCTGAGGGGAGCAGCGGGTGGGTCAGGAGAGGTCTGCCATGCCATGTGGTCACCTCCTGGGCAGGCGGGAATTGAACTCACGCAGGAGCGGCTTCTTCAGATTCTCAGTGCTGTGCTCTAACCCACTGCGCCACCAGGGAGGGCCAGTTTCCTGGTTCTTAATAAAATCTTTTTGATACACATAACTAAGTGGAATTTCTTTTTTCTTGCTGTAGATAGGTCAGTGATTAGAATAAAAACCTAACAAATAATTCCTTAGGGGTTTATTAAACTAAACTGGGGCTTTGTATTTTATTTCTTCCTGATGGGGGGGGTCTCTGTTTTTCAGTATTGAACACTAAGTAATGGCTATGCAAATGCAACTTGAAGCAAATGCAGATACTTCAGTTGAAGAAGAGAGCTTTGGTCCACAACCTATTTCACGGTTAGAGGTATGTGTGTGGTTAGAGGTATGTGTGTCTCAGTTGCTGGTTTTGGAATTGTAATGCTATACTACATTCTTTAATGGGAGAGATCACAGCATTTACATAATTTATTGATTCATGATCAAGATCCACATTAGAGTTTTCAGGAAGGTTGTAAAGGATCTGGTGGAAAAGCTTACAGTAGTGGTCGATATCTTTGTTAAGAATTATCCTCCAAAAAAATTAAAAATACAACTATAAAAAATAAGATAAAATTTTTATTGAGACAAAAAGAAAGAAAAAAGAATTATCCTCCAACTTCATAATTTTCTTAGAGCTGGATTGTCAAAAAGTGGGGAAAAAAAATCCTAAGATACCATATTGGAGTCCCTGTGCTGTTTTTACAAAGTATTAATTTACTGTGCAAGGATTTACAATTGCCTGGGCTAGTGTGCAAGAGAGGGGAGCAGCATCACTCCACTGACCCAGATCTCTGCTGAAGTTACTAGCAAAGCAGCTGTCATGGAAAGGACGAACTTATGGTTGTTAATGTTTAAGAGCTAAGCTCCAGTTCAGAACTTTGCATAGTAACATCAAGCACCAGAGCTGGGACTTCACTATTTCTGCTCATCATACAGAGCCCTCAGTGTGAGTGCACCTACCTTGGCTGAAAGAAATGGAACAAAAGCAGAGAAATCCTTTACTCTTCACATACACATTCCATCCATCCAGCTAAGCTTTAAGACTCTGGAAGTTACTTTAGAGGGTTTGTGATCAATATTAGCAAGTGAGAGACTTTTGGTATCAGGAGCATCCTTTACCCACCTGTACAAGCATATTGCTTATATTTAAATATTAATGGCAATTATGATTTCTATAGGTAGATACCACTCTTCCTCCCAAAGTTTTATTGACCTCTAACTACACACACATCCCTGGCACCAATTCATGCTGTTCCAGAAGTCATGATTTTGTTAGCTAATAAAATCAGACTGCATTTGTATATAGGGAGAAAGAAGTACCTTTGAGTGGTTTGTTTTGGGAAATGATGTAAGTTCCTGGTCAACAGTATTTTTCTCCCGTGCTCTTTTTTTTTTTTTAAACTTATATGTACAGTAATTGGGGTGTAAACCAGAGGTGGGAGGGTGAGAGGATTCACCAGAGAGAGTGGGGTGCAGAACAGGAAGACTGACTAAAATATACTGCTGAAGGGAGCAGCAGGTGAGAAAGGAGAGGACTGCTGCCACGTGGATCAGCCAGGGATCAGAGTCATGCTGCAGTGGCTGTGAATAGCTTCATAGTGCCACAATGGAGACCCCTTGGCTTCCCCCATTCTTAATGTCAGTTATTAGAGCAGAGCTTTCTAGTCATTGTGCCATAAGATGGGAATTAAAATGCAGTGCTACCCTCAACTCTTAGGCAGCTTTATTTGTCTACCCAGCTTCATACAAAAACAATACTTTATGTATGCTTAATGTGGGAAACATTGGTTTAAAGTGACCTTGTAGAACTAGGCCTCTCAAAGTTCAGTTAGAAAATCCTAGTTATAAAAGATTGAAGGTTATGGGCTTAGTAGTTCCTTTGGAGTCCTTGGAGAATTACTGGTTCAATCTTGATTCATAATGAGTCCATTTTAATGTAAATTGCATACTGGTTTGGTAAACGAAACGATTGATAATTTATTATTGAATACCTCACGTGAGCCACTTTCCAAAGCTTTTGCCTAGAATCTCAGTTCTCTAAAACATACTTGAAGTAGAGCAAGTGCTGAGTAAGGGCTCTGCAGATGTGAGACAAGATGTGAGAACTGCAGCTTACATTTATCCATGGTTTTCTTGCAGCAATGTGGCATAAACGCCAATGATGTGAAGAAATTGGAAGAAGCTGGATTTCATACTGTGGAGGCTGTTGCATATGCACCAAAGAAGGAGCTAATAAATATTAAGGGAATTAGTGAAGCCAAAGCTGATAAAATTCTGGTAGGTACTTTTTATGTTGCCTAGGGAGGCCCTAGTAGGAAAGTGCAGAAAGGTATGCAGTAAAAGGCATGGTCTTCTTCCTTGCATTCCTCTTTTTGTCACCCAGTTTCCCTTTCTAGAGGTGTCTGTGTTAATTATCTTTATATGTGTCCCCTTGCATGTATTGTGATTTTTCTCTAGGGAATTGTAGTGCTGATGGTTATATGCCTCATTTTTCCAGATAGTGTGTTCTCATGTGTTAGAAGTATATTCATTAGTACACAGCCATTAAAAACAGTTTAGAAAAATAATCACTGACATAAGAAAATGTTTCCAATATAAGAAAACAGGTTAATAAAACATGTATGCTTGTTTTGTTTTTAAAAATGTGTTTATGGATAAATACAAAAAAATTAGCAGTATTTCTGGATGTAATAATGAGCAATTTTTATTTTTGCTTCAGTTTTCTGGTTTCTATATTTTCTGTAATAAATATGTATTGCTTTCAAATAGAAAAGCTATTTTTGCTGCTTTAATATTATGGTCATATTAATTAGACTTAGTGTATTTGTTAGTTTATCACAGGCTATGTTCTTCAATGATGACAAGATAATGGGATTTCAAATCAATGTACTTAGGATTATTTTTGTTTCCTTAAATGACATAAAAGCTTATTGGTTTAACCAAAATGAGATGATAAATTAATATAACCTCTTATGTATATATATGTGCAGTACAAAACAATAATTTTGAAATTTTACTTCTTCCTTATGAATTCTCATTTGTTCTTCATTACACTGAGAAGATAGGTAGGACCAGTGTTTTCTATTTTACAGATGAATAAACATAGGCTTATGCAGTTGATGACAAAACTTAAGACTAGACTCTACTTGTTTTTACCTGACATTGGAAGAAGATGAGAAGGATCTTTTTTTTTTTTTTTAAGATTTATTTATTTGTGCATACAGAACTGGGGTACAGTCCAGAGGCTCAGGGGCGGCGAGAGGCTTCACCAAAGACAGAGTGGGGAGCAGAACAGGCAGATTGATGAAGTACACTGCTGAGGGGAGCAGCAGGCGGGCCCGGAGAGGTCTGCCACGCCATGTGGTCACCTCCGGGGCAGGCGGGAATGAACTCATGTGGAAATGGCTTTAGCTTCTCAGTGCAGTGCTTTAACCCTCTGCGCCACCAAGGAGGCCCAAGAAGGATCATTTTTGAGATGATCTTCCAATGTCTTTCAGTTAGTTTTTTTTTTTTTTAAATATTTCTTAGTACTCATAATCCCCCATGATCACATCTTACTTTATGTATTTATCTTTTGATATTTATATGGTTATATGGTTTTAGCTTTACCCTTGATGTTTTATATAGTGTAAAGCAAATGTAAAAATTATATATATTTTTAAAATATTTATTTGTGCATACAAGAACTGGGTTACAGGCCAGAGGAGCATAGGTGGGTGAGAGGATTCATTTGAGATAGATTTAGGAGCGACACAGGCAGATGGACTGAAAACGCTGTTGAAGGGAACAGTGGTGAGACAGGAGAGGTCTGCTGCAACATGTAAGTCTCCTCCTTGGCCAGGAATCAAACTTGTGCTGCAGTGTCTGCAGACAGCTTCATAATGCTTTGCTTTTACCTGTTGTGCCACTAGGGAGGGCCTATATTTTCATGTTAATGCTGATTACTGTTACAGCTTAATAGAAGTTTTTTCTGAAAATAATCTTCAGAAGCTAAAGAATCTTCAAAAAATAGCCTCACAGTATTTAGTTCTTCAGTGAAATGTAGACAAAAGGTAATATCTAAGATTTTGTGTCCTTCTTTAATGTCTTATATTAACATACACATGACATGTAATACATACATAGAGCTCTTTTATTGCATATTTCATAAAGAACTTTGAATTTTTAAGCAGTGGCAAGTCTGTCACTAATAATTCAGTCAGGACTCAAAAATCAAAATTTTTTTTAAGATTTATTTATGGATTCAGAACTGGGGTACAAGCCAGAGGTGCAGGGGCAGTGAGAGGATTCACCAGGGACAGAGTGGGGAGCAGAACAGGCAGATCGTGGAAGTACACTGCTGAGGGGAGCAGTGGGCGGGTCAGGAGAGGTCTGCCACACCATATGGTCATGTCCGGGGCAGGCGGGGATCGAACTCATGTGAGAGTGTTTTTTAGCTTCTTAGTGCTGTGCCTTAACCCGTTGCGCCACCAAGGAGGGCCTCAAAAATCAATTTTTTTAAAGTAAATTTATATTGAGGTAACATTGGCTTATAGCATTTTACTATTTTTTTTAAATTTTTTAAAGATTTATTTATACATACAGAACTGGGGTACAGACCAGAAGTGCCGGTGGGGGTTGGTGAGAGGATTCACCAGAGAAAGAGTGGGAGCAGAACAGGCAGATTGACAAAGTACACTGCTGAGAGGAGCAGTGGGCGAGACAGGCGAGGTGTACCACTCCATGTAGGTCATCCGGGAGGCCAGGGATCAAACTCATCCTGTATTGGCCGCTGATGGCTTCATAGTGCTGTGCTATACTCTGTTGCGCCACTAGGGTGGCCCCTCATAAGTGGTTTTTAATTTAAGCCTTTAAATTTAGCTGTTGCCACCCATCAAGTAAGAAATCTTCTATTGAAACATTCAAATGTTTCAGTTGAAGTGGTGAGTTAATTGGAAATAATAGTTCCAACTCCCTAAAATCTCAATGAAATGCTTTGAGATTGACTAGCCCAGTAAATGTCCCTAAAGTCTATTTGTCATTTCTTTCTGGAAGTCAAAATTCTTGACAGGATCTTCACTTATATGTAATAAGTAAAATGAAAGATACAAACTGATGTATAAGTATTTTTCTGGCCTCTTTGATTTCAGATATTTCATGTTGAATTTTTTGGTGGGTGGGTAAATATTGAATGTGTTACAATTTTTTCTTTTAAAGACTTACTACTTTTAAAAGTTAAATATTTATTCCATTGTCTTTGGAATTGTGACTTTCAGCAAGAAAGTCCATTGTCAGAGTGAGAAAGAAAATCCATTTACAGAAGATAAATCAAACTGGTTGAAAGAGAAAGATATTGTAAATGGAATAATTCATTCAGACAGTACCATTTTCTGCATTTTCAAAGTTTAATGTAATTGGCTCTTGTTGAGCTATCACACTTTTTGGTGTGCTCTGATACATTAGACATGGATATTTTTTGTAATATTTTCCTTTTACTTGCTATCCTGTATCTCATGTCCAAAGGTTTGGTAGCTCTTGGCTATTTAAAATTGTAGATTTAAGACTTTTTCCTTGCACAGAGGAAAGTGAACTTATGTAAATATAAAAGTAAAGTTTAGCCATATGAGGCAGTTGCATGATTTTTTACTGTAAATGTCACATTGGTTATAGTATTCTGTTCTGTAAGAGCTTATCAACTAAAAATATGGTGTTAAAATGACATGACAAAAAGGGAAAGAGTACTTCTGAGTCTTTTCCCCTCCAATATTTGTCACAAAATCTTGAATTTACTGCTTATTTAAAAGAATTTGGATAGTTTGTGTCCTAGTAATTTGCGTCTTTTATCTGTTATCTAATTTGTTGACTTAGAGTTTTATTTTTGTAAGTTTAGTAGTAACACCCCTCTTTGACTGCTGAGTTTAGTGATTTGGGTTTTTGTTTTTAAGACTTATGGATTTTATTGGTCTTTTCAAAGAGCCACTTGGCTTTGCTGAGAATGTATTTCTGTTCTCTATTAGTGTCTGCTCTAATCATATTTTCTTCTGCTTGCTTATGTTTAGTTTGATTTTCTTTTAGTATTATAAAGTGAAAGGTTACGTTATTAGTCTAAGATATTTCTAATATAGGCATTTACAGTTAAACATTCCCTTTAAGTAGTGTTTTTGCTACATATCATGTTTTTGTAATTTTCTTTCATCTCAAATTATTTTTTAAAATTTATTTATTTATGAACACAAAAACTGGCATATAGGCCAGAGATGTGGGGTGAACGAGAGGACTGACTAGAGACAGGGTGGGGAGCAGAACAAGCAGATTGACAAGTACACTGCTGAGGGGAGCAGTTTGCTAGACAGGAGAGGTCTGCTGTGCCATGTGGGTCACTTTCCTGGTTGGGAATCAAAATGGTGCTGAAGTGGCTGCAGCTAACTCCATAATGCTGTGCTTCAACCCATTGCATCACCAGAGAGGGCCCTTGAATATATTTATTTTTAAGCTTAGGAATCAACCTTACATTTATTGAAGGCTTATTAATACTACAAAGTAGGATATACATGTTCTCAACCTTGAGAGTGTGAAGTAAAAGTATAACTGATAGAGATAGGGAAGTAGACTTAGAGGGGAAGAGATCAAAGGACAAATGAAAGAGTTCAAAGAAGAAAGTTAGGACATACAATGTGGTTGATGAAACAGGAAATAAAAATTTAAATATATTGTTGAACTTTGCACTGTATTATCACATTTATTGTAAAGTAGGTAAAATACATGTGGCGGGTTTATAATTATGATTTTTTTAAACATTCTGGAGATTTTGTTAGATGTCTTCCCTTTGTTTTCCTAAGCATATTTTATTCTTCTGACTTTTTTTTTCCTAGACTGAAGCTGCTAAATTAGTTCCAATGGGTTTTACCACTGCAACTGAATTCCACCAAAGGCGGTCAGAAATAATACAGATAACTACTGGCTCCAAAGAGCTTGACAAACTGCTTCAAGGTATAGTAATGCCTTTTCCTTTGATGTGAACCCTAGTTAATGAAAGACATACAACTTACAGCACAAACCTAAAATATTTGAGTAGGACATGTTTTAGATTTAATTAATACATTAGAAAAGTATACTGAAGAAGTAAGACTGTTGCAGAGTGGGACCATACTTATAAAATATTGAAATTATCTGCTAGTGAGCCCTCTCTGGTGGCACAGCAGGTTAAAGCACAGCACTACGAAGCTATCCACAGCTGCAGCACTGGTTTGATCCCTGGCCAGAGAGATGACCCACATGGCGTGGGAGACCTCTTCTGATCCACCCTCTGCAGTGTGTTTCACTCAATCTGCCCGTTCTTCTCCCCACTCTGTCTCAGTAAATCCTCTTACCCCACAACCTCTGGCCTTTACCCCAGTTCTTGTATGCATAAATAAATCTTTAAAAAAAGAAATTATCTGCCAGTTATCCAGCTACTATTGTATTCAGAGTGTGAACTCCCTCTACATAAATGACATACTTAGCACAGGGTTGAAAAATTGGATAATTAGTTAAAACATTCCTTGTGTAAAAAGAATTCGTTATATCAGTACTGTGACATACATTTATATATAATCTTCAAGATTATGGAAGATTATCATTTTTTAATTTTTGAAAGGACTGATGTCTTAAATTACTTCACAATTTCCTTCTGTTGCTTTCCTGAATATTTAATCATTTGTGTTTTTTTATAGTTTTTTAGGGTGTAAAATAGCATGGATTTCAAGAATAGTCCTTACTCCTGTCCTCACTGCCCGGATTTACTGGCTGTATTACAATAGTGTAAATTTCTTACTGTCTTTACACCTCAGTTTTCTTATCTTCAGAATGGAGATATGAGAATTTATAGTGATTGGAATTAAATGAAATGGTAACATGTAAGTACATAACACAATGTCAGGTACACAAGAAATATTTAGTAATATCTGATGATATGTAGTAATAATAGATATTGTTTATAACCATTTTACCTTTTTAAGATTTTTATTTATGCATACAGAACTGGGGTACAAGCCAGAGGTATAGCAGTGGTGAGAGAATTCACCAGGGACAGAGTAGGGTGCAGAACAGGCACTGCTGAAGGGAGCAGTGGGCGAGACCAGAGAGGAGCCCGGTCATGTGGATCACCTCTGGGGCTGGGGATCAAATTCACACTGAAGTGGCTGCGGCTGGCTTGCAGTGCCACCAGGGAGGGCTCTTAACAATCATTTTAAATGCTTTGACTTGTGATGGTTGATTGAGATGGTTATGTGAAGCAACACATATTTATTTGATACTATTTGCATAGAACTATACACATACAGAAATGAATGCATGTATAACTGGAGAAACCTGGACAAACTCTGAGTGGTATTCATATAATTTTTTCATATATTGGTAATATATTATCTTTACCAAATGGGAGGATTGAGAGACTTGGGTAAAGAATGCATGGGACTTGTCTGTGCATTTCTTGGCAATTTTCTGTAACTCTAGAATTATTTCAAAATATATTTTTAAAATGACTTGGGAATTTTCAAACTATTTAAATCTTTCTGAGTTCCATCTCTTGTGATGGTTGTTTTTAAACATTTGTGTTGTGCTAAGAGTTGTTCCTTATTGTTCTTTTAGGAGGAATTGAGACTGGCTCTATCACTGAAATGTTTGGAGAATTCCGAACTGGGAAGACCCAGATCTGTCATACATTGGCTGTAACATGCCAGGTAAGCTGTATGGATTGTAACTCAAGTCAAATCTGCAAGAATGTGTTAATTCTCACTATTTGTGATCATCGATTGGGATGGGCATAAAAAGCACTTTATTCTCAAGTGTAGAGCTAGAGGATAGAATCCTACTGCAGAATTCTTCCAAATCATAGAAACTTACATTGTTATGCTGTCTCTGGCCTTCACTAGTCTAGATTTGATGATTTTTTACTAAAATCATTTCTTTATTTAAAAAAAAATTATGCATAGAAGAGGTGGAGTACAGGCCAGGGTGGGGGTGAGAGGATTTACCAGAGACAAAGTGGGAAACAGAACAAGCAGATCTGTTGAAATACAGTGCTGAGGGGAGCAGTGGACAGGTCAGGAGAGGTGCCATGTGGGTCATCTCCCTGGCTAGGAATCAATCTTAGGCTGCAATTGCTGCAGATAGCTTCATAGTGCTGTGCTTTAACTTGTGCACTTGGGAGGGCCCTGTTATTAAAATCACTTTTTTACAAATAGTCTCAGAATTTTATTCCCCCCTGAAAGAGTTGTCAATCTTAAGTGGATTTTATCCGTCTTCTCAGTATTTCCAAATAACTCATCAGCCTGAAGAAAAATATAATAAAACTAGTTGGCTTCACTTTAAATTCAGAATAATGCACTTAGGTTAACATTCAGTGCTAAATGGGAAGTCTGAATTTCTCCAACCAGGCATACTTTTTTTCCCATTTAGTAAGATAGCTCTTTTATCTGTTGTCCTTTCCTCATCAAGCCTTCTTGTTCCTCTTTCAACAGTAACCTAACCTGCTCTTCCCAGCAGATCTTTAAACCACCTACATTTGTGCCCATCTTTTCTTATCTCAGATTATAGTGGCAGTAGTGTCTCTTCTTCTCAAAGGCTCAGTATGATCTGGTTACAGTTTCCTGCCATCTTACAGATGTGCCTCCTGTTTTCTGTGTTGCTTCTCTGTTATTCTCTTTGGTTTATACAAATGTGCCTAATACCTTTCCACTACGAAATATCCATTCCTGGACTCCTTCAGATTCTTCCTTTATTTGTGCTTCTATTCTTCAATGGATTTATAACTAGACATAGCAAATTAATTGCCTAAGATTATATCATATTTAAGGAAATAGACACAGAATTTAAACCTTACTCTAGAGCCTATCCGTACTCTTTAAAAAACTTTGAAAGAATAGAATAGAATGTACAACTCACTTGTTCTCTGTTGTATTGCTAGGGCCTAAGTCATTGCTTGCCACTCACTTAGTAAGTAATTGGTAAGTCTCTAAACACATGGAGATAGTTTCCAAAGGCATATCTAATACACTGTAAAATAATTGGTATAAATGAAGTAGTATAACTGTTTGAGGGTTTACTTTATCCTAGAGTAATCATGGAATACTTTATGGAGAAAAGAAATTGAGCAAGACTCCTGCTGAATGCTAAATTTGATCAGAAAAAGAAATTTAAAAACAATTAATGATAGGAGCAGAAGTGCTAGGGCAAAGGGAGGTAATAGACAGTAAATCTGTTTACTTCCAAGTTTGCTTTGGGAAAGCTATAGGAGATAAACCTTAAAAAGATATAACAAGACCATGTTGCAGAGGATAATTGGCTTGGAGTGTTAGGAGTTTAGGTTCGACTTGATTCTGTGAAGAATACTAATCAGGGCCCTCCCACATGGCACAACGGGTCAAAGTGCAGCACTAGGAAGCTATCCGCAGCCACTGCAATAAGAGTTCAATTCCCAGCCAGGGAGGTGACCCCTATGGTGCCACATATCTCTCCTCACCCACCAGCTGCTCCCCTCAGCAGTGTATTTCAGTGGCTCTGCCTCTTCTGCTCCCCACTCTGTTTCTGGTGAATCCTCTCACCCTCCACACCTCTGGCCTGTACCCCAATACTTGTATGCATAAGTAAATCTTTTTTTAAAAAAGTGATAATCAGATGTTTTCAACTAAAGAGTAACATGAACCAAATTTTCAGAAATATTCTCATAGCTGTTCAATGAAAGGACCTGAGGATATTTGATATAGGACTAAATGAAAACAGTGATA